TTGTATTCTCTACACCCTTCTAACTTTTCCCCATCATTTAATAGGTATTATAAAAGTACCTTTGATGTATTCAAATATTTTTAGGAATTTGATTGTTTTCTAAAACACAAGTCAAACTCGTCACTCCGGTCGCTTTTCGGTTAAATTTAACAGGTCATTACTTTGTCTGTACTTAAGGTAAATTTTCTTTCTTTGGCTCTACAGAAAGCCCAAAGCAAGCCCATTATAGATATAATAATATCATTATGATCTGTCGACTAGCCGCTCCGCTACCTTCACGTAAACGTTGTAAGAAATAACAAATGTTGAAAGTTTGAGATCGATTTTCTCAAAAACCCCATTTCTGTAAATTTTTTTTTTAAAATTCTTTTAGACATTTAGTCGACTACAAGAAAAAACAGTTTAAAAATGTAATATTTTGGTTGTATGCCCTCTGTTTGAGCCGCAATCGCGTGAAATGCGTGAACATTTGTTATTTTTCACAACGTTTACGTGAAAGTAGCGGAGCGGCTACTTGGCAGATAATAATGATATTATTATATCTATAATGGGTTTGCTTTGGGCTTTCTGTAGAGCCAAATAAAAAAAAATTAGCTTAGGTACAGACAAAGTAATAACCTGTCAAATTTGACCGAAAAGCGACCGGTGTGACGAGTTTGACATGTTTTTTAGAAAACAATCAAATTCCTAAAACTATTTGAATACATCAAGGTATTTTTATAATACCTATTAAATGAGGGGCGAAAGTTAAAAAGGTGTAGGGAAAACAATGGCGCCAGCAGAGGGTGTCAAACACGCGACCTCCGACGGCAGGCAAAAACTCTAGTTTCTACCACTGCTGCTTCTACGCTTCGTAACTGAAGAACAAGAAATCTGAAGAACATGCGGATTGCGCCCGCATTTATTTGATAAATGCCCCCAAAACATATATTTTTTTCGTGAAAATTAAAATTCATACTTTTTTATTCTGCCCGATTTGAAATGAAATTTCCCATATCGGGCAGGCTGAAAGGGTCCAGCTTTTAATTTTCACGAAAAAAAATATGTTTTAGGGGCATTCCTCAAATGAATGAGAGCGCAAACCGCAAGTTCCCCAATTTTGTTGTTCTCGAGTTACGAAGCGTAGAAGCCGCAGTGGCAGAAACTAGTGTTTTTGCCTGCCGTCGCAGGTCGCGTGTTTGACACCCTCTGCTGGCGCTATTGTTTTCTATACACACTTTTAACTTTTTTCCCTCATTTAATAGGTATTAAAAAGATACCTTGAATTATTCAAAAAGTTTTAGGAATTTGATTGTTTTCTAAAAAAACATGTCAAACTCGTCACACCGGTCGCTTTTCGGTCAAATTTGACAGGTTATTACTTTGTCTGTACCTAAGCTAATTTTTTTTTTTATTTGGCTCTACAGAAAGCCCAAAGCAAACCCATTATAGATATAATAATATCATTATTATCTGCCAACTAGCCGGTCCGCTACTTTCACGTAAACGTTGTGAAAAATAACAAATGTTCACGCATTTCACGCGATTGCGGCTCAAACAGAGGACATACAACCAAAATATTACATTTTTAAACTGTTTTTTCTTGTAGTCGACTAAATGTCTAAAAGAATTTTAAAAAAAATTTACAGAAATGGGGTTTTTGAGAAAATCGATCTCAAACTTTCAACATTTGTTATTTCTTACAACGTTTACGTGAAGGTAGCGGAGCGGCTAGTCGACAGATCATAATGATATTATTATATCTATAATGGGCTTGCTTTTGGCTTTCTGTAGAGACAAAGAAAGAAAATTTACCTTAAGTACAGACAAAGTAATGACCTGTCAAATTTGACCGAAAAGCGACCGGAGTGACGAGTTTGACATGTGTTTTAGAAAACAATCAAATTTCTAAAAATATTTGAATACATCAAGGTATCTTTATAATACCTATTTAGTTAGGGGAAAAATTTAAAAGGGTGTAGACAAAACAATAGCGTCAGCAGAGGGTGTCAAACACGCGACCGGCGACGGCAGGCAAAAACACTACTTTCTGCCGCTGCGGCTCCTACGGCTCGTAACTCGAGAACGAAAAATCGGGAGAACATGCGGTTTGCGCCCTCCTTCATTTGATAAATACCCCCAAAACATATATTTTTTTCGTGAAAATTAAAAATTAGACCCTTTTAGCCTGCCCGATTTGAGATGAAATCACCCATATATATATATATATATATATATATATATATATATATATATATATAGCACACATTTTATTTTGTGGACTGCTACTAGTACTCATCACTGAAACTGACCTTCGTAGCCTCGTGACGCAATATATATATATATATATTGCGTCACGAGGCTACGAGGGTCAGTTTTAGTAATGAGTACTAGTAGCAGTAAAAAAAATAAAATGTGTGCTAAAGCTATATTTAAACTGAAATTCATGAAAAAAAAAAACTGATAGCAGCAATTGTTTTGCGACCCATTACTGGATGTGTCGGACGCACATATTGGAAGGCACAGAAGTTGGCAGTGAAGCACAATTTCTAACACAACAGGAGGTACCGATCGGCATCCAGCGTAAAACATTCCTGTAAGGTGACAGGCGGAAAGCTTCTACTTAACTACGCAGATCTCTGAAGAGATTCATTAGTTAGAGGTGATATCTTCGTGTCGATGTCGGCCGTGTTTTCTGGTCTTTTTCGTAAAACCAGCGAGAGAGGAAATTTTATTAGGAAATAGAAATCCATAAGTTCGACTTATGAACCATCTGGTTTGTGGTTGTCCGGCGAGGTTCCGTAGCACTCTTAGTTTCCTAATTACCACCTAAGCGTAAAACGCCCCCCCCCCCCTCCCCATAAAAAAAAAGAAAAGCGGGAGATGCGTTGTTCACAGATGCATTGATACAAATCGATAAGACAAGGTGACTTTAATGTCGAGCGGAATTTGGGTGTACCATGGTCACCGATTCTGCGGGGTTCATTCGCCAAAAGTCCCGTAGACACGTAGAAATGGTTCGAGAAATTGGCTGTTGACGAGTTGGCTTTCGACGAATTGGCCTAGACCCTACATTCCTTTAGAGTGCCTACTTTGAGAGGTGCATTTTTTAACTGCGTGTGCTCTATTTAGGGTTAAGCGTTTTCTGCTTAAACAGAATGAAACCGGTAGAAGTGCGCCAAATACGAATTTCCTAATTCGGATTTAACTGAAGAAGGCCAGTATTTTCGGGGGCGTTTGCAGCGGTGGGGGCGTGACTTATTACTGTCCGGCTGCCACAGACAGCAACAAAAAGGAAACCAGTACCTGGTCTACTCACTATACATTTTAAACAGACGCTCTAAATATTGCATTGTCGTCTCTATAATGGTTTTCGTAAATAAAACGAAAACAACTGAGAAGTTTATGAGTCTACAAATATCAACCGGAATACACCGGAAACTTCTGTTTGGAATAAAAACCGAAAAGAGTACGCCTAATTTCGAAATGATAAAAACCGAAAACGGCAGACCCTAGCTATATTGTCAATGTCCTGTTTTGACGCTGTGCTGTTTTGTCGCGTTGCTGTTTTGTCGCTCTGCTGTTTTGACGCCGTGCTGTTTTGGCACGTGCTCTTCTGTCGCTGTGCCGTTTTGACTCTGTGCTGTTTTGTCGCGCGCTATTTTGACGCGTGCTGTTTTGTCGTCGTGCTGTTTTGACGCTCTGCTGTTTTGACGCGTGCTGTTTTGACCGTGCTTTTCTGCCGCATGCTGTTTTGTCGTGTGCTGTTCTGTCATGGTTCCCTGTGCCACATGGCAGTAAAACCTAGCGGATATTGATGTTTGCCCACTGCATAACTAATTTGTTGATCACATGGGCTTTCTAGACCAAATGTGTAAGGACCAGCAACTTACGCCTGAGTGGCTGTCACGTGTTGAGGAGTTGTCTACCCTCAAGTATTTGTAACACGTTCGACATGAGCAAAGATACCTGATAATGAAGCAATGGTGAGGGTGCAGGCTAGCTGGTGTAATTTGAGCATAGTTGTAAAACCGAGACGTAGAATAGGGACAAGGGACGATTATAATGTTGTACTCTCCTAAACAATACCACCCAATTCATGGTTGTCATCGAGTGTTTTTGTTGAGGGCATACCTAAACGCGCCACGTGCACGAATGTAGAGCGGACGCTTCACCCTATTAAACATTTATTTTTCGCTCGACATGCATCTGCTCATTTTATTAGTGACAGGATTACGCAAGTTGGAAAGTGGATGTCAATCAACGCGTAAAAGTAAACTTAGAACCACATTTCCCCGGCTAATATACGGGCCAGTTTCCTCAAACTTTGGCAAGGCTTGAGCTAAGTTGGCTATGGCTCGCACCAATCTGGCCAAGCCCGGGCCGAGGAAGTGTGCTACTTGGGAAAGTACCTGAAATAAATAAGTTTACAATCCATCCTTAGATACGTGCTGTGCAAAATAAAGAACTAACAATAGCCTACGTTTTATGCGTTATACTTACTAACAGCACAGTTATATCTTAAGGTACCTAACTATATCGCACTCCAACGCAAATGAAAGAACTAAAGAAATCCGTGGGATGACCTCTGCGATATTGTTTAGAAGTTCCGATGTTCGTCATTTCATCGCAATATCGCCATGAAATGGTAAGGAGTAGTAAAAAAGTTATCAAATAATTACAGCCGCAAGACGTTCTTTATCTCATCCTCTTTACCTTGAAAGGTACTGTTTTTGTGCTAATGTTTCTTTTCACTCGGTACACACCCTGAATTGCGGGAATTTGCTCGCGGTGTAAAAGTTGAATTTGAATACACATTGTGATGGCAGATAGGTAAGCTAAAAGCGCACGTCAAAAATTTCTAGGACATGAGATGTTTCCTACGGGGGGAGAGCTCAGAGTTTGTCGGTCTGCATCCTCGTATGTATGAAGATGATGGTACTAAAATAGTTCTTTCCTAAAAAAACACAAAAACATGCACATGGGTTGAACAATTGTTAGAGTTTAAAAACTATTTTTTATTAATTGGCTTTATTCTTCACATGTTGAATTTACAGAAAGGTGGATAAATTAGCATGTCTCTAGATGAATGTTCATCCGTTTCTTTCTGAAATAGAAAAAGGTCAAAGTTAGTGCAAGGAACGAAATGAGGCACAAATGGATATTTAAAACATCTACTAAGACGCAACCATATTGGGCTTCTAAATAGCGCATTTCATACACATTACATTGTTTTTCACGAATAAATTTTTAAACCAAATATCAGCTTACATTTCTTCTTGTGGAGGAGAGCAGTGTAGTCACCGGAACTGCCAAGGCCATATCCGTAGTTCAAGCCGTAACTTGCGAGCCCGTGGCCATAGCCATATCGACCGATGCCATAGCCGTAGCCGTAGGCAGGCCCATGGGCGACTGCGGTAACGGCTGGGGAAATTTGGTAGACGCCGAGCTTGCTGACTACTGGAGCCGCGTGGTAAGCGGCCACCCTCGCCACAGCAGGAGCAGTGGCATAGGAGGTGACAGCAGGAGCTGCCTGATATGATGCGAAATTGGTCACAGCAGGAGCACCATACGCGGCCACAGCAGGAACCGTGTGGTAGGAGGCAACTCGGGCAACAGGAGCAGCTGCATAGGTGGCAACCTTAGCGACTGGAGCGGCGTAGGCGGTGACAGCTGGAGCGGCGTGGTAGGTCGTGGAGAAGGCACGAGAAACAGCTGGAGCAGCAACAGCGTATCCAGCGGGGGCATAGCGATAGCCCATCAGGCCTGAGTAGGAAAGTCCATGGCGGTAGCCATAAGCGTTGTTTAGGAAACCTCCATATGCGGGAACTCCGATGACTGGGGAGGCGGCATAGGTGGCAACCTTAGCAACTGGGGCGGTGGCGAAGGTGGCCACCTTAGCGACTGGAGCTGCGGCGTAGGTGCCAAACCTGGCGACCGCAGGTGCTGCGAAAGTGGCGACCTTGGCGACTGGAGCGGCGTGGATGGTCGTGGAGTAGGAACGAGAGACAGCTGGAGCAGCAACAGCGTATCCAGCGGGGGCATAACGATAGCCCATCAGACCCGAGTAAGAAAGTCCATGGCGGTAGCCATAAGCGTTGCTTAGGAAACCTCCATATGCGGGAACTCCGACGACTGGGGAGGCGGCATAGGTGGCAACCTTAGCAACTGGGGCGGTGGCGAAGGTGGCCACCTTAGCGACTGGAGCTGCGGCGTAGGTGCCGAACCTGGCGACGGCGGGGGCTGCGAAAGTGGCGACCTTGGCGACTGGAGCGGCGTGGAAGGTCGTGGCGTAGGAACGAGAGACAGCTGGAGCAGCAACAGCGTATCCAGCGGGGGCATAGCGATAGCCCATCAAACCCGAGTAGGAGAGTCCATGGTGGTGGCCATAAGCGTTGCTTAGGAAGCCCCCATATGCGGGAACTCCAACGACTGGAGAGGTGGCATAGGTGGCAACCTTAGCAACTGGGGCGGTGGCGTAGGTGGCCACCTTAGCGACTGGAGCTGCGGCGTAGGTGCCGAACCTGGCGACGGCGGGGGCTGCGAAAGTGGCGACCTTGGCGACTGGAGCGGCGTGGAAGGTCGTGGCGTAGGAACGAGAGACAGCTGGAGCAGCGACAGCGTATCCAGCGGGGGCATAGCGATAGCCCATCAGACCCGAGTAAGAAAGTCCATGGCGGTAGCCATAAGCGTTGTTTAGGAAACCTCCATATGCGGGAACTCCGACGACTGGGGAGGCGGCATAGGTGGCAACCTTAGCAACTGGGGCGGTGGCGAAGGTGGCCACCTTAGCGACTGGAGCTGCGGCGTAGGTGCCGAACCTGGCGACGGCGGGGGCTGCGAAAGTGGCGACCTTGGCGACTGGAGCGGCGTGGAAGGTCGTGGCGTAGGAACGGGAGACAGCTGGAGCAGCAACAGCGTATCCAGCGGGGGCATAGCGATAGCCCATCAAACCCGAGTAGGAGAGTCCATGGTGGTGGCCATAAGCGTTGCTTAGGAAGCCCCCATATGCGGGAACTCCAACGACTGGAGAGGTGGCATAGGTGGCAACCTTAGCAACTGGGGCGGTGGCGTAGGTGGCCACCTTAGCGACTGGAGCTGCGGCGTAGGTGCCAAAGCTGGCGACGGCGGGGGCTGCGAAAGTGGCGACCTTGGCGACTGGAGCGGCGTGGAAGGTCGTGGCGTAGGAACGAGAGACAGCTGGAGCAGCAACAGCGTATCCAGCGGGGGCATAGCGATAGCCCATCAAACCCGAGTAGGAGAGTCCATGGTGGTGGCCATAAGCGTTGTTTAGGAAGCCTCCATATGCGGGAACTCCGACGACTGGGGAGGTGGCATAGGTGGCAACCTTAGCAACTGGGGCAGTGGCGAAGGTGGCCACCTTAGCGACTGGAGCTGTGGCGTAGGTGCCAAACCTGGCGACGGCGGGGGCTGCGAAAGTGGCGACCTTGGCGACTGGAGCGGCATGGAAGGTCGTGGCGTAGGAACGAGAGACAGCTGGAGCAGCAACAGCGTATCCAGCGGGGGCATAGCGATAGCCCATCAAACCCGAGTAGGAGAGTCCATGGTGTTGGCCATAAGCGTTGTTTAGGAAGCCTCCATATGCGGGAACTCCAACGACTGGGGAGGTGGCATAGGTGGCAACCTTAGCAACTGGGGCGGCGGCGAAGGTGGCCACCTTAGCGACTGGAGCTGCGGCGTAGGTGCCAAACCTGGCGACGGCGGGGGCTGCGAAAGTGGCGACCTTGGCGACTGGAGCGGCGTGGAAGGTCGTGGCGTAGGAACGAGAGACAGCTGGAGCAGCGACAGCGTATCCAGCGGGGGCATAGCGATAGCCCATCAAACCCGAGTAGGAGAGTCCATGGTGGTGGCCATAAGCGTTGTTTAGGAAGCCTCCATATGCGGGAACTCCAACGACTGGGGAGGAGGCATAGGTGGCAACCTTAGCAACTGGGGCGGTGGCGAAGGTGGCCACCTTAGCGACTGGAGCTGCGGCGTAGGTGCCAAACCTGGCGACTGCGGGGGCTGCGAAAGTGGCGACCTTGGCTACTGGAGCGGCGTGGAAGGTCGTGGCGTAGGAACGAGAGACAGCTGGAGCAGCGACAGCGTATCCAGCGGGGGCATAGCGATAGCCCATCAGACCAGAGTAGGAAAGTCCATGGTGGTGGCCATAAGCGTTGTTTAGGAAGCCTCCATATGCGGGAACTCCGACGACTGGGGAGGTGGCATAGGTGGCAACTTTAGCAACTGGGGCGGTGGCGAAGGTGGCCACCTTAGCGACTGGAGCTGCGGCGTAGGTGCCAAACCTGGCGACTGCGGGGGCTGCGAAAGTGGCGACCTTGGCTACTGGAGCGGCGTGGAAGGTCGTGGCGTAGGAACGAGAGACAGCTGGAGCAGCAACAGCGTATCCAGCGGGGGCATAGCGATAGCCCATCAAACCCGAGTAGGAGAGTCCATGGTGGTGGCCATAAGCGTTGTTTAGGAAGCCTCCATATGCGGGAACTCCAACGACTGGGGAGGTGGCATAGGTGGCAACCTTAGCAACTGGGGCGGTGGCGAAGGTGGCCACCTTAGCGACTGGAGCTGCGGCGTAGGTGCCAAACCTGGCGACGGCGGGGGGTGCGAAAGTGGCGACCTTGGCGACTGGAGCGGCGTGGAAGGTCGTGGCGTACGAACGAGAGACAGCTGGAGCAGCAACAGCGTATCCAGCGGGGGCATAGCGATAGCCCGTCAGACCCGAGTAGGAAAGTCCATGGCGGTAGCCATAAGCGTTGTTTAGGAAGCCGCCATGTGTGGGAACTCCGACGACGGGAGCTGTAGCATATGTCGCAACCTTAGCGACTGGGGCATTGGTGTAGGTAGCTACATTAGCGACTGGAGCTGCGAAGGCGGTAAACGCCGGAGTACCGTGGTAGTTTGTTGCAAAAGAACGTGTCAGAGCTGGGGAAGCGACAGCATATTGATCCGGGGCATAGGGATGGCCCACTAGGCCAGAATAGGGAACACCGTGCTGGTATCCATAGGCGTTGTTGAGGTAGTCGGCAAACGTGCTGGTAGTCAGAGCAAGAAGGAGGCATGAACGAATCTGCAAAAAAAAGCCGAGCTTGATTAGAAAGGAACCTCAATTTCATCATAATATTATCTCAGTATACATATTCTCGCATTCCAGTAAGATACTATGCACTTTTTTAAAGTTTTTTTTGTTAATGAATTTAGTTACACGTTTCAAATAATGCTTTTTATCGATTTATATAGATGTAAAACCACCCATTACAATACGCGTAGTGAAGAAACATAAAGCTCGTACCATGATTGCAGCTGTGCGGTCAGCTGTAATCTGTGAATTGTTAGAATTTGCAATCGTATTTATACTCAAATACTGCCGGAGAAGGCAACTCGTCATTCTGAAAATGTTTTTGCTATTTGCGCACGTATTCTTAGTTCTGGTCTTCTTTTCTCATTAATATATTCCCAGTGGGAAAGCGCTGGCTTTAGCGCAAATATTCAAGGTCGAAAGCGTATAAACAGCCGTAAATATGCGGCTTTAAAAATGCGCATTCATATAACAACAATTTTACTGCTGTGTAGATAACTAAAACGTGAGTTTCAAACTGGTTTGTGTCTCTGAGCGGCTATATTTTCACCAGTTGTAAAAAGTAGCAACGATCAGATTTGCTCCTGTCTGCGACTGGTACGCGGCACTACAGGACGCAATGCGGCGCCTCGGGGCTTACCGGAATTCCAGCCATGCGCAGCACCGTGCCTCGCGTAACAAAATGGAATGTCTTCATTTGAAGGTTACACTATTCATGGAATATTTTGAGGCAGATTGTTGACCAGGATACATGCGGTGTCTGGAGAATTTTCATTTTGAAACTTAAATGAGATGCCCCAGAGCAGCGAAATCAGCGGAGTTAAGTATGCGCATACAAAACAATAATTACTCATCACAAGGAACGGTGGTCACTTCATACCAAACGTACTTCATGCATCAGAATTAAGAAATACCACATCAATTATCAGTCGTGTTTATGAGCGTTATTTTTTTAATATTCGCGTTTTTGTATTAGTCCCAATTGCCGTTAAAGGGATCACTACTTTAATTTTTACAGCAGACTTCCGGTAATACTAAAGAAGGTATTTCCACCCTTTTTTTCTTTTAAACCATTGATTGTTTTACACCAATATTTTTACAAATGGTAGCATTGACGGACGCGCAAAAGAAGGAATGGCTTTGGCCAAAGGTTATGAACGTTAGTATCCGTTGACCGAATGCACATGTTACCAAACTATAGGTACTTTCATAGCTCGCTTTCAAAAAGGCGCTTTGGACCATGCAGGACACCGAATATATAAGATAAAGATTTTATTTTACGTCACGAGCCCGTTCCCAGCGTTTTCTAGAAACAAAAATGAAGAACGCGTAAAGGATATTGTGTTAGACAATGAAAATTCATTCCTTATAAGATCCATGAGCTTAGCTCAAACCAGGAACATCTTCACTACAGTGGTTGCAGATGATTATGCGGTCAGTTACTTGACCAAGATCAAAACATTTCGATATAGGTTTTACAGGTGATGGGCACAGCATACTAAAACTTCCTCATCATACTTGGCCTGCAAATGGTACTGAGAATAATAAGTTTTATCGATGACTTTGTCTCCTCTTTTCATTTTTTTTAATATTTGCTGTGATTGATAGTGTTTGCAACGTAAAAATAATTTGAATGAAACTTCGGCTACTAATTTGATGCATCTCTGCGTTGTACGTGACTGGAGATCTGGGAGGGTAGCTCCTATATTTATGCCGGGAGGAATACCCAGTGTACACCGGCAAAATGTATAATTCTAGATGCTTGAAATGACAAGAAATTAGTTTAGTTTCTAATTTTTTATAAAGATTTGTTTTACGATGCAAGCTATATTGCCGTAAAGCACTAAGCACCTGGGGGAAAGGGGAAATGAATCTGTCATAAGACATCACAGAAATATAAAAATATCCATCAAACACAACTCGTGCAAATCTCTTTACAAAAAAGGTGTTCCTAAAACAATACCGGAATATAGTAAAATATTAAAGTAGCATAACTATCGTTAAGATGGCATTATCTATCATTTAACTGGAATATATTAGACATTAGCACAAACTACGGGGTTGTTGAAGCCTAATCGATCAAAAACAAGTTGAAAACCAATTGAAAACACTAATTTCAAAATTTGCAAACCACATTTTTGACAGCCTATTATATACTTCAATAGTTACCGAGAAAAGGAAAAAGGAAACACATCGGTGCTCCAGAAGTTGGTAGAAGTTGGTTTCATAATTATTCATTATAAATCGAGCACATTTTTTTTACCCATTTTGTTCTTATCCCGAGACTGAGGCAGGAAAAGAGGAAAGTTTCGAAGTAGAAGAAAAATGAACAGTCGAGGACACGTCTCTATCACAGCTAAAGACAAGTTTATTTGGTCACCTTCTTATATACACTCCACAAACTTCACCACAGCACCTTCCCGATCTCGAAAGCCAAAAGGTAACAAAGGTCTCACATCTTTCCACCACAATTGTCAAACGACCTTGACGTTTTCCACAAAGCAATGAACAACAGCTCCCCTCATCCGGAAGACACTTGTCTGAATCCTTCGCGTACACAGTACACTCTCTCCCTCTACTCTCCGATCCATAATCACAAAGCATCCCGGTAACTTCTGTTACCGGGATGCTTTGTGATTATGGATCGGAGAGTAGAGGGAGAGAGTGTACTGTGTACGCGAAGGATTCAGACAAGTGTCTTCCGGATGAGGGGAGCTATTGTTCATTGCTTTGTGGAAAACGTCAAGGTCGTTTGACAATTGTGGTGGAAAGATGTGAGACCTTTGTTACCTTTTGGCTTTCGAGATCGGGAAGGTGCTGTGGTGAAGTTTGTGGAGTGTATATAAGAAGGTGACCAAATAAACTTGTCTTCAGCTGTGTTAGAGACGTGTCCTCGACTGTTCATTTTTCTTCTACTTCGAAACTTTCCTCTTTTCCTGCCTCAGTCTCGGGCTAAGAACAAAATGGTTAACATTCACCAGCTCGCCTGCGCAATCACTACATTATCACATTTTTTTTATTCTTTAAGCTTGCATAATAAATAATATCGGTGGGTGTCTCAGACTAGGAAATCATGTTCAATGCTGCGAAGACCAAATGTAAACTACATTCTCCTGAATATTTCTCAAACCATGTGGAAAGTCTTGTGTTACAACAAGTTAAGCGTGTTCATGGCTTTCAAGACTATTATTTCAACATGATGTTAAGTCACTAAGTAGCATGAGGATTGTTTTAGTAAACGTCGTGCAAAATCAATTTTTTACGTTTAGATTTCTTCGAACAATTATTAGACCAATCAGACATTTGTAAAATATTAGCACGGTTGGAATCATTATAAAATATTTAAATGGTGCAGTCATCTGGAAATTGTTGAATATTTGATTATATGCCATTACAAATATCATTCACATTGACCAGAAAAGAAAAGACCTACGACATAAGTGGGCCCCAGAATTAACATTTACGTATTGAGTTATTACCTTTCTACGTTCAACACTTTGCTTGCGGTCGCGTATACACTGTCTCAGCCAAGGTAGTACGGGGTGAAAGTGAGTTCAGCTTAAAAATATAGGGACTTACGTATTAAATACCCCTAAAAATAATTGCGCGCTGTTTCGTGAGTTGTTTTTAAAATATTTGGTGCTATCACTGCAAAACAAACAAACAATCAAACAAAAAGCTGGCGGGTGCTGTTTCTTTAAATAGTTCTTAAGGGCTTGAAAGGTAAGTCTATAACCATGAATCTGTCCTGATATTCCTACCAACATTATCATAAAACTTTGGCAGATGTAGAAATCCAAAAAAATTTCCAATTTCTTCCTACAACAACGCCCCATCAGCATTAATTCATAATTCAGCATAATTGAAGTTATACCGCCACGGCTTCATTTTTTTAAAGAAATTATCTCCAACTTTTATTATTCGTATAACGCTATATGGGCTCTATAAATTATCTTTTCGCGAGCTTTATGTTTGATTATTTTTGAAGTTTTACACTTCTAAATTCCGTATTCTAAATAGGTCGTGATATCAATACACTATGTTCATGAACAAAATCCGTATTGTAATTACGAACCGTTGACAGAACATATTTGAGGAGAAAAGGCTTAGCTTTTGTAATAACGTCAAAAAATGTAAAAAAATGAAAACAATAGAAAAATAAGGTAATTATATTATAGCTGTTGCTAAAACAATATTTTTCAAATCTTATGTTCAGTTCGTTTCAACTTCCGAAACGAATATAATGTGTCAAGCTTCTGACAAGTTATTAGAAATTACAAACAGTTCAAGCTACCACGGTTGCTCCGTTAACTGGGCGACGCTGATGATTAAGGAGTGGAGTGTATTTCAATGTTATTCTGTTTTTTGGTTGCTTCCGACGGGCACTGGGAAGTATAAAACTATTCCTGTTGTTGATCGTGGCAGACGTCAGGGTTAAAAACACAATGAGTGGTTTCGTTAGCTAAAATTAGCTAAATAAATTTGTCCCTAATATTTAGCTGCCATTAGAGAATATAAGCCCATTTTTCATACAGGCGAGATTAGATGCTTAGTTTTATAAAATGTTATTATTCGACTTATTGAACTCATGTCACCATGAATCTTTATAGCTGAGGCAGTCTCAAAGCGACAGTCAGATAGTAAGACGGCACAGAGGATAAAATGTCCGAAAATCACCGTCCCCAAGGTCGGATCAGAATAAAACACTTTTCGGCTTTGAAGGCGGTTGTTTTGTACGCTGGCGCGCACCGTCGAAGTTTGAGGTGACGAGCGAAGGCATTTGTAAAGATTACAGTGCATTTTATACAAGAACTTCACGCAGAGTGGAGTTTTAAAAACATACTTGTCGAGGATATGGTTTGTCAAACATCACGTTCTTCAAAATATGTAAGTATAAAGGCTCAGCATCTTTTTAGCTTTTACAATGAACTTCTCATGAAAGCGCGTCATGAGCTGTAAAGGGCGGAGAAAACTATGGTTAGTGAAAGGTGAAGGGTTCAGCGCGAGGGAAAGGAATGCTGGCAAGGAGGAAGCAGAGGGATTGTTAGAGAGAAGAGGAGGAAACCTCCCACTCTCCCAAACATTCCGGCTGATGCCTCCTCCCCATCATACCTTTCTCTCGCTCTGGTCTCTTAACCTGTTCCCGATCATAGGAATGTAGCGCACTGCGTGTTTGTCATCGCTAATATGTCTCATTTCGTCACAAGTTTTAATGGAAGAAAAGGCCTGTCG